TCCATGACCATGAATCTGCTTCTGTCTTCGCGGACTTGCCTGTTCTGGACGTTTCCTGTAAATGGAATCGGACACTGTGCTGTTTGGTGTCTGGCAGCTTCCAGGGCTCCCCGCACGCACGCACAGCAGGCGTCCGGACTCCCAGCTATTGCACGGTGTGGCTTTTCCACATTTTGTTTGCCCTGCAGCAGTTGGTAGGCCTTGGGATTGATCCCACTTTCTGGCCATGGTGAGTAATACGCCATCTTATTTTGTGAGCAGGGTCGTAGAACGGAATGTCTTCAGGACCCTGTAGAACACTGTGGGCCGAGCCACCCTCTGTCCTAGTCCTTCCTTCTGCAGACCCCCTCCCCATATCTTCCCAGCCCCCGCCCCTCCACCAGCTCTGCCTCTACCCTGAGTCTGAGACCAGGGAGTAAAGGGGGAATCTCACTTCCCATGCCCAGCAAGGAGGGAGGTTCCCCAATTCTGGGGCCTGGCTCCCCATGGCCCTGTCCTTCCAGCTGCCCCTTACCTGGCACCAGCTCCTCGTCCAGCCCTGACTACTATGCACCCTCTGAGACGGGCCCGTATGCTCTTGGACAAATGTCCATTTTACTTCCTATTTTTCCGTTTCTGTGTTCAAGGGACGTCTCTTGTAAGAGCATGTAGCTGAATTTTACTTGTTCGCCAATCTGAGTCTCTCTGTTGTAACTCATACATTAAATACCTTTGATATTTGATATAATTGCTGATCTATTTGGATTTAGCTGTGGGATCCTTTTTGTGCTTTCTCTGGGCTCCACTATGTCTTCGCTTCTTTTTTTCTCCTCCTCTGCTTTTCTTTAGATACTTTTAAAAAAATAATTATTTCCCTGCCTGTGGCTTGAAAGTTGAACACTATTTCTATTGTTTATTTCTGTTGGGGATAGGTTGTGTTTTTTGAAAATACAGGTCAATTTTTTAAAGTAATTCTGAAAAAGTTGTTAGCAGCTGCTTTTTCAAATATTGCTATTTCCCTACTTTCTCCCCCTCTAGAGCGCCAATAAAAATAGGACTGGTCTTTTCACTGCGATCTATTGGTCTCCTAACCTCCTTCCATCTTCCATCTTTTATCTCTGTCCCTCACGCTGCATTATGGACCATTTCTTCAGCTATACCTTTCACATCCCCATTTTTTTTCTCCAGCTGTATTTAATGGTTTTTTAACTGTCCTAGTGTTTAATTTTCAGTAAATATATTTTCATTATTTTTAAAAATCATTTTATTCTTTTCAAATTTGCCTGCCTTTTTTTAAATGCATTTGACCCTATTTTATATTTTCAGTTCTTTTATTTCTCAAGATTTTAAACACAAGTATTTCTTCTGTAAAGCCTCTAATTTCACTTTCTAAAGATTGTTGAGTCGGC